CTGGAGCCTGTGCCTGGCAGAGGCAGACTACCCTTCCAGACCAGCTGATAGACACAGCCCTTCCCTGAAGATCCACCAGGGTCTTAGCTGCACATGCAGTCAACATGGGTGTAGGAAGGCTAATTGTTGGGATCTGAAATGTGCCCTTTAGGTTTGGATCCTGAATGCTTGCTCCCCTGGCTTGTGAAGTTTGAAGTTTCAGGGGGAAGTTTCAGAGTCCCTTAAATACTCTTATGGGGTTATTTAATAGATTGAACTTTAAGAATCCGTGGTTCTGGTCAGTGGGGGACAGATGAATCAGCTGTGGATTAACAAGCGACCAGCACCATTTGTGGTGCTGAATCTCTGTGTTACTGAGACAACACAGGCTGGTCATCTGGACCCCAGAAATCAACAGCGTTTTGAAGAGACCGGCATTGCTGAAGATCATAAATCTTGGAGCTACTTTCTCCAAGTCAGCACAGAAAAGTCTGTGGTCTCCAAACTGGGTAATGTGTCAGAGTTTCCCAGATGGTTCTGGTTTTGAAAGCGTCAAAGGGTCATGGAGAGCAGCTGAGGCTTGGTGCCATGTGGCAGGGTCAGGCTTCCTGAAGGACCCCCAGGAGAGGCTATGGGTGGAGGTGCAGCCCAATTGCAGTAAAAACCCCAATATCTTGGAGATGCATGCCAGTACTGTGGAATCCCCACCGCTGACAGCAGCAACCGAGGCGTGGAGCTGGCTTGAGCCTAGGAGACAAGCTGTTGTCTGTTGCAGAGGGCAGAGCTGGACAAGCCGCTTGGGTCCTATGGAGCCCAGGGGACTATGAATGGGTCCCAGAGGTCAAGTGTTGAACGTTGAACACTATTAAGACTTTGATTTCATTGCAACTGTGTGCTGGTTGCATCCTCTTGGGAGTAAAAAAAAGTATTTGTTTTGATTTTACAGAGACGTTGGAAATTTTAGATATTTTAGAGTCTTTGAACTTTAAAGGAGATGTTAGATTTTTTTTTCCTTCGCTTTTAAATATTTACTATTTTCTGCATGAGTACTCTGCCTGCATGTATGTTTGTGCCTCTCTTGTATATCTGGTGTCCACTGAGGTCAGGGATTAGGGATATGGGACTGGAGTTAACATGTGGTTGTGAGCCAACAGGTGGATGCTGGGAATTGACCCAGGCTCTCCAAGCACAAGTTAACTCCAGCCAACACTAGCTCAACTTTGGATGGCTAAGAGAGACGTGTTAATACTTGAAATTTTAAAGACTGCGGGACTTTTTAAAAGCTGGGATGTAGCTGGGCGGTGGTGGCACATGCCTTTAATCCTCCCAGCACTTGGGAGGCAGAGGCAGGCGGATTTCTGAGTTCGAGGCCAGCCTGGTCTACAGAGTGAGTTCCAGGACAGCCAGGGCTACACAGAGAAACCCTGTCTCGAAAAACAAACAACAAAAAGTTGGGATGTTTTATAATGTTTTATATAGTTATATTGTTTTATATTTAGCATGTCTCCTCAGGAAAAAAGGAGAAAGGAAAAATTCTACATGAACAGTGTTATGTCTGTGCGTCAGATTGATGAGGGGTCCGCTGTGCTGGCTAGCTTTGCCAACTTGACACCAGCTAGAGCCCTTGGAGACTTTCAGTTGAGAACATGACTCTGTACGATCGGCCTGTAGGCAAGCCTGGGGGAATTTTCATGATGATTCACAGAGGCGGGCCCAGCCGTTATGGGTAGGGTCATGCCTAGGCAGACGGTTCTAGGATATATAAGAAAATAAACTGACCAAGCCAGTAAGCAGCATTCGATGGCTTCTGCATCTACTCCTGCCTCCAGGCTTGTGATGGCTGCTCTTGTGTGTCAACTTGACCACAGTCATCCGGATTAGCTAAAAACCCAAGCAGCAGGGCACACCTTCGAGGGACTTTTCTTTTGTTTGTTTTTTTGGTTTTTTCGAGACAGGGTTTCTCTGTGTAGCCCTGGCTGTCCTGGAACTCACTCTGTAGACCAGGCTAGCCTCGAACTCTCGAACTCAGAAATCCGCCTGCCTCTGCCTCCCAAGTGCTGGGATTAAAGGTGTGCGCCACCACTGCCCGGCTTCGAGGGACTTTTCTTGATTGGATCCTCTGAGGTGGGAAGACCCACCCTAAATCTGGGCCACACCTAGTAGCAGTCTCTATAAAGGACATAGGAGGAAGCTTTTGTTTTTTTTTGCCCGTTTGGCCCTGTTCTCATATATCTGGCTTCTGAGGCACTCCCTCATTGGCATTACGGCCTACTTCTCCAGAATTCTGGTGTAGAACGAAGACCAGCTGAGACATCCAGCCTCGAGCACTGAACACCTATTGGATTCTTGAACTTTCCCTCAGGAGACAGCCATTGCTGGACTGGCTGGACCACAGCCTGTGAGCCTCTGCTCCTCTACAGACCCTCACCAATAGGTTCCTGCTGCCTTGAGTTCCTACCTGGACTCCTGGATGACCTATAAGCTGTCAGATGAAACCAGCCCTTTCCTCCCTGAGCTGGTTTTGGCCATGTTGGTTTACAAAACTAAGTTAGCAGGATTTCAGGTTGCAGATCTCCCAGGACTCAGGAAAACGGCCGAAATGTGTAGCATGTTCAGATTAAAATAACATACATTCTATTTTGAACTACATGTATCTTTCTGTGGGTGTGTGCGGCAAAGTTCAGGTGCTCACAGGGGCCAGAAGTGGGTGTTGGATCCCTGGTTGTGAGTTACCCGATGTGGGTGCTAGGAACTTGGTTCCCCTCTAAGGGCCGGCTGCATGTGGACACTGGGATGTGGACTTCACGATTCGTTTCACTAACCAGTCTTCCTTTGGTTATCTGCCTATTACTTTAAATTGTAAATACCAACAAGGTCCACACCCCTTTAACCCCAGCACTGGGAAGGCAGAGGCAGGTGGATCTCCGAGGGTTCAAGGCCAGCCTGGTCCACAAGTTCTATACCAGGCAAAGCCACAGAGGGAGACCTTTTCTCAAAACACAAAAAACAAACGAACAAACAGACAAACAAAAAAAACCCACCACCCTGTTGTTATTCTTAGCTTTTTTGGATTTCCAAGACAAGGTTTCTCTGTGTAGCCCTGGCCGTCCTTGAACTGTCATTCTTCCAGTGTTGGGATTCATGTATATGCTGCCGTACACAGCCAGTTATACACACATACAATATCAACTGTTCCTTACTCTCTTTTAAAAAGATGTATGTGTATTTGTGTCCGAACATCAGTATCTGTACATGTGCAGGTGCCTTTGAAGGCCAGACTGCCCGGCACGGGGCCACCCATGTAGGTGCCAGCAAATACATACTCCTGACTGCTGTGTGCCCCCTCCAGCCCCAGCTAGAATTTATTATTTTTTTAATGTTTCTAACTTCACGTCTTTCTTACATGACTAAATAGCCATACGGTGTAAGGGCAGTGGGATCAGTAACTGGGGAGACCACTCATCAGGCCGCAAAGCCTCTTTATGTCCCACTGGTGTTTCAGGTGAAAGCTTTCAGGTGACAAAAAGCTACAAACAGTTAAGTCTGGTCCCAGCTGTGAGCCTGCCTTCCAGAAAGGTGTTGTCATGCTGCACACGTGACTGCTAGCAAGCAGTAGCCTATAGGGGCAACAGACACCCTCCCCCCACCCCAATGAAAAGTGTGCCCTTGACCATGATTTGTGTCAATGACCCAGTGACAATGTCAGGATTGTTTACTGCTCTGAAAGGAGAAAGGGCCACTTAAGAGTTAACAGATTCTTTAAGACCCAACAAAAAGCGTTTCTGGACAGGACACGGAGCACTAAGTACAAGGAAGGAAGTAACCTTAAAAAGTAAGTTCTCTTCAGACAGCGTCTGGGTCGCTGTCTGGGGACAACACAAGAAGCCGTTAGGTCTTCTGGCAAAGAGTCAAGGTGGTCAAAACCAGACAACGGAGCCAGTCGTAAACAGACCACCAGGCCTCTAGGTCCTCAGAGAGAGGGCTGCCAATTTCCCCTCCCCGCCTGGCGTGTGAACCGGCGGCTGTCCCCCTGGCTCGGGAGGAAGGAACCTGGGGAGGGTCTTCCGGTACTCATCACAGCTTAGGTACCAAGGAAGGTAAACAAGGTTTCTTCTGCATAAGAAACTGAAATGTCATCAGGTGATGGGGTAACAGAAAACGGGAAGTCGAAAGGTACAATCGAGACGCCGAGGACCTGCTGAGCAGAAGCTGGGCCAAGGTTTCCCCTCCACGGAAAACGCTGCTTTGAAAGCACCGCCTGGTGGGGCGTGTGAGCTCTTCGCTCAGGATAGAGGCAGGAGGCTATCAGCAGCCACAGAGCAAGTTCAAAGACGGTCTGGGGTACCTGTATCTGGTCTTTTTTTTTTTTTTTTTTTTTATCTTTTTGAGACAGGGTCTCTCTAAATAGCTCCGGCTATCTTGGAACTCACTATGTAGACCAGGCTGGCCCTGCCTCTGCCTCTGAGTGCTGGGCTCTGAGACCTTGTCTTACACAATAATAAACAAAACAAAAACTAGGCCTGAGGCTGTGGCTTGGTTGGTAAAGTGTTGGTTGAACATGCACAGAGCCCTGGGTCCCTGCACCATGTAAACCAGGCACGGTGGGACACGCTTGTGATCCCAGGTACTCGGGAGTCAGGCTGGAAGATCACAACAAATTTGGGGCCAACCTGGCCTACATGATACCCTGTCTCAAAAGAAGAACAAACAAAATTCAGGGAGGAGCTCTCCCACACTGGCCACGGTGTCCCTGCAAGAGGCCAAGTGGTGTGCTTGTGTGCCCTGCTCCCCGTGGGTTCTTTCCCCGACAGTAGGGAAGAGACTGGAAGGTTCTTGGCTTCGGGTCACACAGCCCACAGGCTGGAGGCAGGGACTGCCCAGCAGGTCTGTGGGCACTAGCGTTTCTTGCTTGCTCGCCCGCCCGCCCGGCAGCTGCAGGGCGCCTGTGCCCGGCGGGGGTGTAGCTGCCTCAGAGACTCAGAGACAGGCGAGTGAGGCATGAAAGACACACAGCACAGGACTGTAATCAATGTCTTTATCTCTGAAAACGGAAGCGAGTGTTTTGACAGAACACTATGGCCACTCTATAAGAGTGGGTGTAGGAGCAGTTCGCTGTCCTCCGGTGCCACAGCTTTAAGACAAAACAGGGAAACAGCCCACCACAGCGTGTCGGTGCCTACTCAGCCTGGCACACACTCCAACCACTCCTTCCTCTCTGAACCCCATCCCCCAGCTTCATCGCCGGCCTCCACAACTGTTTACTTAATGAATTCAACTGACCCCAGAACATCTGTGAATCTTGAAACAGGTCCTCAGCACATCACATGTACAGACAACGCCAGTGTGTCACTCCAGCCGGTTCCTCTCCATTAGTCATTAGTCAACATTAAAACACCAGACAGACACGGGGCTCAGGTGCCCCGAGGCTGCTGCGGTGCCAGCAACCCCCCGTCTAGGTGGCTGAGAGAACCTTCTCTTACAACAGTACCCAGTCAGCCCACACACTCTCAGCAGCTGCTGCCACACTATGCTCCTGTCCTGATAACCTGTACATCTGCTGGCAGCCAGCACTGTGCCTGCACCCGTGCGGACACATGCCTTGGCTTGCCGTCCATGATCCCTCTGACGCTGTCCCGGTCGGCCGCTTTCCAGACGTGTACCCGGAGGCCGTGAGGGTAGGGCAGGGCTAGGCTCCAGCTGCTGCCCTGGGAACCGGGAGTTGCCGTGCTCCACAGCCTCGGTCAGAGCTGGCGAGCAGCAGCCTGATCTGGGTGGTGGCACAGAGGGTCTGTCTCTGAACTTCCCTCTCTACTTTGTTCTGGACCTTTCCCTCAGCCACGACATTCAAGAGCCCTCAGGGACTGGCTGGGCGCCTGAGACAGGAGGCAGCAAAGTAAGGAGGGAAGACAGGAGGGAGGGAAACAGAGGGCCTGGGGCAGAGGCTGTGCGCACAGCGCCTGGGTTCAAGCCCCACACTACACTCAAGGGCTAGCTACTGGAGCCGCCTCAGTGGACAAGGACTCTCGACACACAGGCATCCGCTCGCCTTGGCTGCCCTTGTCCAAAACAGCCTGGGAGTGAAGCACACTGCTGGAAGGGCAGGGCGCGACCATCTGTGAGAACAAAACTCCAGAAACAGGAGCTAGTTTGGGTTAGATTATAATCACTGAAGACAGGACCAAGGAGCTGACTTCCATCTGTGCGACCACCTGACTTCTAGGAAGGAGAGAGCAAGGAGAGACGGGACAAGAGCTTTTGATCCAAGACTCAAGGGGACGGGGGCAGTGTGTGGGTCCACATGATTTCTCAAGTCTTCCTGCTGGACCGTCGTTAGACGCCCAGGTTTGTGCTGTGAGCCAGCCAGCCCTGCGCGGCTGTGCTGATTGTTCTCGTGAGTGTTTATATAAAATAATCATCTCATCTTCATTTAGTTTATAAACATACACAGTGCTGTCCCTTTCAAATTGAGGAAAAAAAAACCACACGAATACTGCAAAGTAGCAAAATACAAAGAAAAAAAAAAGCTACTTTCGCTTTTGGCAACGTTAAAAAGGAAGAGACAGAGCAGAGGTGGCATCGGCCGGCCGTCAGAAGGTGTGTGTGGAGGACACTGGGTCGGGGGGGCTTGTTTGCTAAAATTCAGAGTATCTGGCATCTCAAATGTAGTACAGCTCAACAGGTCGCCAGACCTGTCGAACACGGAAGCTCCCCATAAAAAGCTCAGCTCTCACGTTTTCGTGAATTTGGGAGAGGAACTGAGTTCTTACTGGAATGTGGCCTATCGCTGGCTGACAGATCTGAATGGAATGTCTCCAAACGGCAGTGTCTCCCTCTCTGCCCTGTGGAGCGCGCTGGAGCAGCGCCGTCTGTGGAGGGGGCGGGCCTCAGGCAGCCATCTTCGCCAGCTGCTGCTCCAACTTTGAAATGCGTTCCTCTTGACTGCACATCGTGTCCTTTATGGATTTGATCTCTTTCAGGATCTCATCCAACTTGGCTTCGTTTTGCTAAAAAAACAAGCAGAAGAAGGTGAGCAGAGAGCACTGACGTAGCACAGTCCTGTGCTGTCAACTCTGACAGCAGAGGAGTCTCAGCGTGCCTCTCGCACGCTCAGGACTGCGAGCTGCAGCCACCAGGACACCACGGAGGCTGAGACAGACGAGAGTCCACAAAGAGAATGCAGTGTCTCAGTGTGGCTCCTGGTCCTCCGTCTGTACCTGCTGGGCAGAGCCTCTCCTCCAGAGCCCTCACAGGGCAAGCCTGGCCACAGCAGGACCTACAGCCACTCACTCTGCTTCCTGTCAGGGGCAGCTCTGCACTGTAGGGTTCTGATGAAGACCCAGTGTCTCCCAAGAGCTTGTTAACTGGAGACCTTATGGTGCCAGTACAGATGCTGGCTCCTCGTCATGGCCTAAGGTGCTTCAGCTGCTGCTCTGTGTGCTCCGTGTGCAGCTCCACACCCCCCAGCCATTCTCTCCTGAGTCAGCAGTGCCCTCTGCTGGCAGGCTCCAGACCCCAAGCTCCAGCCAAGGTAGCTGTATTGCTAGCCCACATTGTCAACACAGCACTATATAGCACTATGTAACACTAGGTAACACTACTTAATACTATGTAACACTACAGTACATAACACTAGGTAACACTAGGTAACACTACACTATGTAACACTAGGTAACACTACAGTACATAACACTAGGTAACACTAGGTAACACTACACTATGTAACACTAGGTAACAAGCACCTCTCAGCCCACCTCCTTCTCCAGGAGCACGCACTCCCTGGCTCCTGTAGCCCAGCAGGGGTTCTGTCCACTCTCAGACAGCACAGTAGTCATTACAAAAGCCAGCGCTGGGCACCGCCCTGGGCCACAGGGGTCTCTCCAGCGGATCCCAGTCCTTACCCCACTGGCAGTGTCTGTGGTCTTCTTCGGGGCACAGATGAGATCCGTCTTCTTGTTTGCAGCCGGCTTGCTGTCCAGAATGTTCTTCCTGACCACCTTGAGGTCCCTGTTCTTGCCTGGAATGTAGCCGTGCTTGAGGGAGATGAGGACGGGGTCTGCGTCCTTCCCCTCAAACCACTCCTCGGCCTCAAGTGCAGCATCCGGCCCCGCCGTGTCGGGGTACAGGTCGTCTTGGAAGAGGTCAGACTGTAAGAGGTGTTTGGAGAAGGCTGGGTCAGTGAGAAGAAAGGCTGGCCCGAGTGGAGTGCTGTATGCATGCGCGGCAAGCGATCCCCACGGGAGGCGGCCCAGCCTTTACTGTCTCCCACTGTCTGGAGCAGCGGGGGCGAGGCACGCACGTCAGTGATCTGAGTTCTGAGACGGGAGTTACTTCAGACTGCGGACGTGAGCTGCAGAGACCGCTGCTGGCTAGTTTACTCGACACAAGCTAGCGGCATTTGGAATAGGGAACCTCAGTGAGAAAATGCTCCAACAGGCTGGCCCATGGGCGACAGACCGGCCCGTGGGCAAGCCTGTGCTGCATTTTCTTGATTGGTGATTAATATGAAACAGCACGACTCACTGTGGGTGCGGCCAGCCCTGGGCAGGTGGTCCTGGGCACTGTAAGGAAGTAGAGCCTGCTATGTTCCTGCTTGGCCACTGCATCAGCTCATGCCCCCAGGCTCCTGCCCTGACAGTGCCTCAGCAATGCAGTGTGTGTGACCTGACAGCTGTAAATGTCAGGAAGTCTCATCACAGCAACAGAAGCCCTCACTAAGACAGGTGGCTCAGTGGTTAGACCTGGTCTGACTCCCAGCACCCTTGTGGCGCTGCTGGTTCCAGGGGCCCTGACACTTCTGACCTTCTGAAGCACCAGGTGGACACGGGGACAGTTCACAGCAACGCATGCAGGCAAAATACCCACACATGCTAAAACCGAAACCCAAAAACCTGGGCACTCACCTTCCTGGGGACGGTCATGATAATAGGTTCACACTTTCTCTCATGAAGCTTGAAGAACCTTCAAAGAGAAATAAGAGAAAAGTTGCAGAGAGAAACATGTGAGTGACCCCGGACTGCTTCTCCAGTGCCCGTGGGGCCTGAAGCATGTCCACTGAGCACCTCAGCTGCTGCTCCAGCCCAAGAGCAGCTCGTGCTTCCACTGTAGAGGGGAAGACATTGTCCACACAGCTGGAGACAGCAAGGACTCGAGGCCTGTGAAAGATGGCTGCAGCCATGCCGCAGTGACCTGCCGCCGTGTCCCCACACGGGAGGGCACAACCTCCCAGGAGGCAGCACCTGTATCCTGGGCATGAGTCTCTGCCAGCACAGGCACTGAACATGGCACCCATGTGACCTCAGACAACTGCCGGGCAGGTCTGCAGGCCCCTTCCACCTTCTTGTTTTTACAGCTTACTGCTACTTCTGCATGTGTTAGCATGTGTGCGTGCCACAGCACACGTGTGCAGGTCAGGGACAGCGATGGCGTCAGCCCCCTCTTCCACTTTACAGAGTTCCTAGGTTCCAACTCTGGCCGTCAGATCTGTGTGGCAAATGTCTACCCACTGAGCCATCCTGCTGGCCCTGCCTTCTGACAGGGTCCCACACTGGCCGGGTCGGCTGACCGGAGCTTGCAGGCAGCTGTCTCCGCCCTCCACCTCCCGTCTCATTACTGCTGGGATGACTGTGTGCACCGCAGAGCACAAGCATGGGTCCTGGAGACCTAAAGCCTAACCTCTGCTTGTAAGACTGGGCTTTCCCCACAAAGCCATCTACGCAGCCATCTACGCAGAACTCTCCTTCTCTCCCCACCTCTGTCCTCTGCCCTCACAGGGCTGTTCCTGTCCGCCTGCCTCTCCCCCTTCTCTCCTTCCCCTTCCCACAAATAACCCTCCCTTATACCAGGTCTATGGCATGGCGTGATCTCTCAGTACACGCTGGCATGGGCTGGTCAGGCAGCCCCCAGCCCGCATTAGATTTTATACCAAGGCTCTTGCCCATCCGCCTTCCAGGGAACACTGCCCATCCGCCTTAGCCTGAAGGAGGTGAGCACGAGAGACCCTGAGCCCTGCTGTGTCACTGCTATGTGCCACTGCAAGGACAGGTCCCAAGCCACAGTCAACTGCAAACACGCCGAGGTAGCCCTGCAGCTGGCTTGCTGTGCCATGAACAGCTGGGGACGCTGGGTCCAGTTCTTACCTGGCAATCTCACACTTGTTGACGTCGAGTCCCCGCTTGGGCATGTAGCCCATCCCTCGCTGAGGCTCCTTGCTGCTGAATGTGTTGAGGTAGTGCACATACGGGGATTCGTCCGTGATTTCAAAGTAGCGGATACTGCTGTCACCCTGGGGACCAGAGGCAAGGCAGTGCCCACGTTAATGGAGGCATTTTAAGTGAGTGGCACCCGCAGCACCCAGAGTTCGTAGAAATCTAAGTTCAGTAGCTGCCCACTGCTCTCTGCAAACGCATCTGCCTGAATGATGAGCTGTTGTTTCCCCGGCAAGATCAGTCCTTCTTCCCGAGAACTCCCCAGCACCTCCTGCAGGAGTCTCCTGGGCCTCTACTCTCCCGGGCCTAGAAACCAGGTCAGGGTCAGGGCAAGAATGTGAGGGGCCCACAACTGCCCTGAGCACCAGCTTAAAGTCAAGCGAGCAAAGGAGAGCACAGCTCCATCTGAGGCCTCGCTCCCTGGCCACAGCAGCAACAGACAACCAGGGAAGATGAAAACAGGTTCTCTCTAGAAGAGACATCAGCGTTCCAATGGTTTCCTGTAACTCTGCACAGCACCCAAGGCTCTCAGTGCAGTGTATAACACCCTGTGGTCAGGGCTGGTGAGATGGCTCAGTGGTTAGGAACACTGGCTGCTCTTCCAGAGGTCCTGAGTTCAATTCCCAGCACCTACATGGTGGCTCAGAACCATCTGTAATGGGATCTGATGCCCTCTTCTGATATGAGGATATATATGCAGCAGAACACCTACAGATTTACAGATAGACAGACAGACAGACAGAAAAAAAAATCATGGTCATCATGTTTAAAGTGGTCAGCTATTTTTTGGCAAGCTATTCAACGCCAGCAACCTGGTCTGAAAGAGAACGAGCTTTCAGCATGAATGTGCTCCAGCTCACTCGCGCGCGCACGCGTTCTCTCTCTCTCTCTCTCTCTCTCTCTCTCTCTCTCTCTCACACACACACACACACACACACACACACACACACACACACAGTTTTTATTTTTTTTGTTTTTTATTTGTTTGATTTTTCGAGACAGGGTTTCTCTGTATATCCCTGGCTGTCCTGGAACTCACTCTGTAGACCAGGCTGGCCTCGAACTCAGAAATCCGCCTGCCTCTGCCTCCCAAGTGCTGGGATTTAAGGCGTGTGCCACCACCGCCCGGCACACACACACACTTTAAGAAACATTATTAAATGTGTCAGTTCTGTCGCCGCAGAGCTTCTCGGGTTCTGAGGGATGAGCCCCGCCCTCCCGTGGCTCACCTTCCCACACAGGTAGATGATGCTGGTGTCCGGGTCATAGAAGGGGAGCAGCACCCCATTGCTAGTGTCCATTTCATGGAGAGCGATTGGCTCCTGCATATTTTTCTGAAAATAAGTAAAAAGATACATATAAGCACACATGCCGTACATTTTTAAAAGACTAATTCTTATAACCACCTCATTTTCCCAGCAGAACCTCAAGTCTGAACACGCGTGACCTCATGCCTGCAAACACTGCAAATCAAACTCCCAGACAATCAACGCAGACATCAGTAGAGGCTCACAACAAAAACCTTTCTCCTTTGAGCTGTTTTCTTTTTGAAAAAGATTTTTATTTTTAAAGGACGACCTGGGAGCTCCAGGCCAACCATGCATACGCATGAGTGCAGTTGCCTGCTGGGGACAGAAGAGGGCGTCAGATCCTCTGGAGCTGCAGCTGTGACCACAGGTGACAGCTGCTACAAACAGCATCTTTCCAGCCACCTCTTTCTTCTTCTAAAGAATGACATATGTAGACAAAGTTACAGAACTGAGAACTGGCCCATCCTACACCCAGCAGGCAGCAGGGAACACCGGCAGGACTGTGGGCTCCGTCCTCGGGAGGTCCCAGGTCTAAGCATCAGAAACCTGGAGCTGCAGAGTGCATTTCTAAGGTGCGCTTGCCTGTGCCCCACTGAGGAGAAGACCCTCCGCTAACTTAAAACAGCAAGAGCTTAGAGAACCACACTGAGAAGCCTGGGACCCCTTGCCAGCCCAAAGCCCCACTCAAACTGAAAGAAATTTGGAAAGGGAGGAAAACAGGCTTACTGGGTTCCAGAGTGCCAACTGCCGCTCGCTCATGCGGCTAAAGCCAGTAGTGAAGACATTGCCGTCAGCCAGGAAGATGGCGCGCATAGGCCGGGCTCCTTCGTGTGCTTTCTCCTTCTCCTGGGGAGGATGGGAGTGGATACAGATCTCACATATTCAAACTGGAAAGGTGGCGGGAAGCCCACACTGAGACCCCCTCCAGCATCCCCGCCCGGCTGAGGCCCACACTCCATGAGGACAGCGTGGCTAGTGTGGCAGCCTTTAGAGCCCAGGAAAGGTTCCCGGTTGGCCACCATGGCTGTGCGCTAGGACACTCACCGCCACGATCTCCTGCTTCCTGGGATCGATGACCCTCACTTTCTTGTCTTTGGAAGCTGTGCAGATGAGACTGCCATTGCGGCTCCAGCTGACATTGTAAATCATGTCTGAATGCATATCATCCAGGTTGATGAGGGCTTCACCTGTTCCCACGTTCCAGATGATAATGGCATTGTCACAGCCTGCATGCACCAAGCACATCGGTCACCAGGGGAGAACCCCACACAGCAAACCAGAGAAAGCCACAAGCCCCACAGAGACACAGTGGCACGGGAAGGAAGGTGCTGGAGACAAGAGGCCCTGCCTACTAGGCTGCAGTGACAAGATCCCTGTAAGTGAACACTCCTGCATGGCCCCTTGAGTCCCTCTGTAACCCAACAAGAAGCTCAGCACGGCAGAAGTCTCGTTCTGGGGATCAGCTGGACTAACGGAACCAGGTGGTCCATCTCCTTTGCTTGCACAATGCCAACAGGAAAAGGGTAAGCAGCATGGTGCCCACGGGCCCTATCCGCCATGCTGTCCCTCAGCTGGCTGCCCACCTGACCTCATTCTTCAGATCCTCAGAGGGCTCAGGGACTGTCAACAGTGGGTAAGCTGGCACTTTACGATGTCTTCTGCCAACAGGCGTTTCCTATCAGTAGCTGCCCGGCATTACACTCTTAACCTGACATACCACAGACAGCTCCTAGCCTTTGTTAAAAACTGATCTGGCTCAGCCGGGTGGTGGTGGCGCACGCCTTTAATCCCAGCACTTGGGAGGCAGAGGCAGGCGGATTTCTGAGTTCGAGGCCAGCCTGGTCTACAGAGTGAGTTCCAGGACAGCCGGGACTACACACAAGAGAAACCCTGTCTTGAAAAACCAAATAAATAAATAAATAAAAAACAAAAAACAAACAAAAACACCTGATCTGGCCAACTTGCAAAAAAAACATTAAAACAAAATAAACCAGTATTATTAAGGTGTAATTCACAACATCCAACAAATATATCTAGGTTAAATGTATCTAGGTTACTGAATGAGTCATGTCCCCACTAGGAAAAAGGGAGGGAGGGAAAGGAATGAATGAATGAATTTAAAATTTGAGCAAAGGCAAAACTCTCTGTAAGATGAACGTGGAAATCAAGCCACAGGAAGTGGGTGCAGAGACAGGAGGCGCCAGGGTTCACTGTGGAACAGTTTAACAGAAAAGTCAAAAGCAGCAGCAGGTCCTGATGCTAGTCCTGATCAGCAGCAGGTCCTCAGAGCTGGGAGCTGAGCAGACAAGCTAGGCTCTGTCAGCAGAGGTCAGTGTGGGCTCCACACTGTGGGAGAGAGAGGACACCATGGCACGTGGAAAGGCCACGGAGTACACACACCAAGGACATTTAGACATTTACAGTCGGTCACAGCTCCTTGGTGCTGGTGCTTTGACAGAGTCCTACCCGTCGTTACCCATCACAGGGTGAGGGCAAGGCATCTCTGGGCTCCTACCTGCACTGAGAAGCACATTGCGGGCCGTCGGGTGCCATGCCACGATGCCAACTCTTTTTGAGTGGCCTTCTAAAATCACCACAGGTTCAGTCAGGGAAAGGGTCAGTCCATTTTCTGGGATCTGCCAAACCTGTTGGAACAGGAAGGAGATTACTGGTCTGAAAGTCACTGTCACCTGACTCCCAGATCACTATGGCCACCCAGTGGCACCTGGGTGAAAGGTGCAAGCAACTACTGTGTGGTTGTTTTAAAAATGTAAATACACTAAGTACTTGCTAACTTTGCGGCTCCTCATCGGTGACCTGCCAGGCCAATGGCGTCCTGAGAACCACAGGTTGTTCATGCTGACTGAGCAGTGTGCTCCTTTCTCTTTAGTAACATTTCCCTTCTACAGTGTGGTAGAAATATTCCCACATCACACACGTAAAACCACGGAGCCCGTGTCCACATGCATGCGCCAGCAGCGGGCTCGCCTCAGTCATCTGGTGCTCCTCCCCCACACAGTCTGGTGGGTACTAGACAGCTCTGAACTGTCATTTATTAAACATCGCGTGAGTCACCGCCTCCCACATCCCTTTATGAGACGGTGAAAATATTCAGAAATCTGTGCTGGTGGGAATACATATTCACGAACACATTAGAAACCACTGAACTGTGCAGTCTAAATGAACACTGTATAAATTGTATCTTTTTTTAAAAAAAAAACCTTATTTGCTGCTGTATGCTTCTGTGCGTTTGTGTGTGTAGTGCCTATGTGTATGCCTGTTTGTGTTGTGTGTGTATGCCTCTGAGTGTGCCTCTGTGTGTGCCTCTGTGTATGTGTCCGTGTGTGTGTGTGTGCCTGTGTGTGTGGAGCATGCATGTGGATGCCAGAGGACAACTTTCTACACTTGTTTCTTCTCTTCCACCTCTGCATGGCTTCTAGGGACGGAACTCACATCATAAGGCTTACATAGCAAGTGTCTTTACCTGCAGAGCCATCTTGTTGGCCCTGAGAATTATAGCTTAACGAGGTGTATACTAAAAAACTCCATTTGGTGGGCTAGAGAGGGCTGAGTGAGAGTGCTAGCTCTACAGGAAAATCTTGAGTTTGGACTGCTAGCACCAAATAAGGAGCCGCCACGGCCGTGCACGTCTCTGATTCCAGGACGTGCTGAGGCGGGGTGTAGACACAGGAGGGCCAGCCAGTTGGTCCTGCACAGCCATGGGCGCCTGGTTCAGCGAGGATGTGAATCAGATGGTAGTGAGGCAGAGAGCAAGAGGACGATGCCTGGCCGACACTGTTAGTGTATTTACTGCACACAGACACACACAGACACACACACACAGACACACCAGCTGACCGACGGTGACGGGCAGAAGGGTCAGCACTGGACACTGTCACAGGGAAGGGAAGGGAAGCCAACTCACTGCTCAACACTGGGAGCTGAGGGCGCTCTGTCTTGTGTCTTGTTTTAGGGTCTTGCTATGCAGCCTGTGGGATCAACTTCCAAACAACCCTCCTACGTCAGACTCAGAAGCAAGACCCTGCATCTCAGCCACACACCGTGCCAGGCAAAGATGGAGGATTTTAGACACAAAGGTACTCACTCCCTAAGAACTGTCACAGGAAAGCAGAATGGCGCCCACCCTAGCATGCCCTCACTGCACGGCGTCCACTTGACGGTTAAACCAATTACCCTCTAAAACCTGGACCCTCTCCAAGACAGCAAGTGCCCTTCCTGGCCCAGTCATCTGTCCGGCCTAACCGTCATTCTTTTTTTCTTTTTTGTCTTTTCAAGACAGAAGTTCCTCTGCGTAGCCTTGGCTGTTCTCAAACTTCAGAGATCCTCCTGCCTCAGCCTCCTGGGTGATCTGCTCAGCATCATAGTTGGACTGCACTTGAGGTAAATAAAACATCTCTTGCAAATCACAGCAAAATAAACTAAACAACTAAACACTTGAGGCCCAATCTTGGAGGCCACCTAATGTCCTGCCCTGGCTCCTGCCATCAGTGGAGTGTCCCCAGGCAGCTGAGGCCAGAGGAAGGCAAGCTGACAGCACGCCTTGCCTCAGCCTCCCTGCAGGGCAATAGGCTTCATCCTGACACATTTTTTAAAAATCTGAATCACGGTTTCTGATTAGCTAACCAGCTCGGGCTGAACCTGGCTGAGTATAATCCCAGCTGAAGCCGAACAGAGCACACGGAATCGTATGGGTCACTCTGACGGAAGCACGACACTGGCAGGTGCGGTCATGAGTGGGCGACAGACTCAAGGGGCACTAGGGAGGGTTGGGGTTGGTTTTTTTTTTTTGCTTCTCACTGCAAGTGTTGTAACCCCACGAGCTGCCCCCAGGTGTCGCCCTTGCCTCAGCGGAGAGTCTCTGGAACACAGTGCAGCAGAGGTCTCGGCACTCGCTTCCACTGGCTCCTTCACCCACTTCTTGAGTAGAGCAGAAATGTCAACGATGAAAGCAGAACATTGGTTATAAGACAGAATTTTAATTTTTTTTCTTAATTATTTGCGTATTTTACATATGAGCACTTTGCTTTCTCATGCACACAGGAGAGGCCATGGGAGCCCATTCCAGATGGTTGTGAGCTGTCATGTGGACGCTGGGAATTGAACTCAGGTCCTCTGGAAGAGCAGCCAGTGTAACTGCTGGGCCATCTCTCCAGCTCCATAAGACAGAATCTTCAACCAGGCCAGCTGGTGTCTGCCCTGTTCGATGGGCAGACTTGATGGCTCCGGGGAGCCGGCAACTAAATGCTAATGCACTAGACACGGAGACCCCGCTCCTTTCACCCCGGGCCCCATCACACTCTACCGAGGAGCCGAGGAGCCACCACAGAGCAGAAGGAATGACCAGGGGCTGACGGGAACTGAGCTCTCAGACTGACAACCAGATACAGGTGCTGGAGCTGCAGGAGCCCCGGTCACACAAACACACCCCGGGTGTGGACGGCACCCTGAGTGTGGACAGCACACAGCAGTGTGCTCCACTGCGCCGAGGACGTGCCGCGTGTGATCTCGGGGTGTGCACTGAGCCTGGGGTGATGGATGGTGGGCATGCTAACGTGAACACTTAGGACGGTGCCCAGCGCGACCAACGCTGTGCTGCCGGAAGCAGGTGCTGACTGAAACTGCAAGCCCAGTTAGGACCGCACCACAGGAGCGGCTCCATCAGGAGTCTCTGCGGAAGTGATCTCTAAGAAGGAAAAGGAGCAGGGGAAAGGGAAGGAAAAAGAGACCAAGGAGCCAGTTTCAAAAGAAACCCGGCAAATGCACAGAGCATTTTCTAAAAAGCGTGTAAACAATGCCTGGGAGAGGCCGGCTGAGGGGCCAGCACAGAAAGGAACCAGTCAGGATGATAGTGCCAGAGGCGCTGACGGCTGAAGAAGTGTCTGGGAAAGTCTGAGGAACAAAATGTAAGACCCCAGAAGTGGGAGCTGATGAGAACAAACAGAGCTGGCTGTGAGCTGTGGGAAAGAAAGGGCTGTCCCAAAGGCAGCACGCCCTCCGCTGGTGCTGCGGGCCCTGCTCGCCCGGCTCATGGCTGTCACTATCTGGCTCTCTGCCTGGAGGGGGTCTGTTACTTCTGGTAATGGCCTGTCAATGTCACTGAAGGTCTTGCTTGGGGACACAGAGCAGAGTGCCACTCTATTCCCATTCTTCTGCACAAGCTGGCACTCTGGCCTGGGCCTCTGGGGCTGGGATGCTAATTAGCCACATTAACACTGAACCCTTAGGTACTGGGAGCCAAAGTCCTTGTTTATACTAAGGGAGCATGGCCTGGCTTACAGAGGGTTCTAGAAAGGTCAACTGAGCTAATGTTCTGCACAGCACTACCCTAACAGGAAACTGCTCACGGGGAGGGACGCAGCTCTGAGCTGGAAGGCCTGGGTTCTGGACACTGTCCTTCTCGGTTGTATGAACCTTCTGACAAAAGCGTCCTCAGGTGAGCCTGGGTTTCCAAGCTATGAGATGTGCTCTGCTCCTGTCTCCCCGTGTCACTGCAGTGATCCGATACAAACATGCAGATCAAGGCTTGGTCACGGCTGGGCACACGGGCCTGCTATGTTCCTGAGCACACCTCTGCTCTCCTGTGATCATGCACACTTTTAGGTTTGAGCCCCAGAATTCCTGAGAGGACTCTGGTAGTGAACTCACTAGTATCCACTTACATCCCACGTGTCCTGTGTGTGGAAGCCCTGGTTTATGCCTGGGACAATCGGTGCTGACGCTGTCCGTGCAGGCGGGTGAGTTGGTCTCTGTTCCTGTGGCTACAGACTGGTACCCCAACATCAATCTGCTTTCTTAGAAACATTCACTGAGCAGGGAGCCAAACGGCAGACATGCCCTCCACAGACGGTGCAGAGCAGCACCTCAGCAGGGGAGGGACAAATCACTACCCCGCCTATTTAAAAAAAAAAAAAAAAGCCCTTGAGTCGCCATAAAAATTCTATTGGACGACATATTACCATAGTAATGTTTTGTTTTAAAAGAAAGAAAGGAAAACAAGATAATCAGTCCCAAAGGGCTTCCAGATGAAAACGGACTCCAGACTCAACCACTGAAAGCCCACTGAGGTTCTGAAAAAATGCTCAAGCACGTGTGCAAAGCCTGCAGGCTGTGTCCCCTCCACTCGTGATGCCTGCACACGGGAGAGCATGGCTGCGGGAGCCAGGCCAACAGGAGGCAGGCCAGGGGGAACCTGCTCCCCATAAGTAAGTAGTCAGTGCAATTGGCTTAACGGTTTTATTTTTCAAACATGGCACAAATTTAAAGTACACAAAGTGTTTCCAGAGCCCTGTCTCCTATCTTGATCAGCCGCCGGCCGGGAACTGACTACTGAAGTGAGACACTGGAGTTACAGCCATGAGGTGCTTTCCTGCAAAAGGGCATGTTTTTAAAGAGCCCAGGGCACTGACTTCAAAGGGAGCATGAAGGAGAGTCGGTCCCTCAAGACGCTAGGTGAGGGATTTGCTGCAGAGCAGTCTGGAGGCCCATGAGGCAGAGCATGGCACAGCTGTGTTTTCTAGAGGGCAAGCTGGGCCTGGGACTAAGGCTGGATCTGCCAAAGGTCAGCAGCCCAGAGGAGAGCTGTCCATCAGACACACCACAGGACACACCACGTCAGGGCTTCTAC